TAGAAGAACATTTATAATAATATAATAATATGGTTATTAAATATTAACAAATTCGACGATTAATTTACTAAATAATAATAATATAACAATATAAAAATATTGTTTTGCACATGAATCTACAGTACTACTAACGGAAAAATTAATTTCTTATAGTTGAATTAATAAATTATAAAATATGCTTAGTGGACCGTGTATTTACATATCCACTCACAGTCTTTTTCAACGATTTATCATTGAATTCAAATTTAAGACGCCATCCCTAAAAGTTGCCTACTGATATTACGAAGTGCATTTTAAATTTACTATCCAACATATTGATTCTTTGTTTTTTTAATTAGTAATACTATTTATTATTAATTTATCAAATATAATAATTAGATACCTACTAATACTAATGGTATGATGTACTTACACGGTTACACTCATTTTTTAATACTAACATAATTCATAATACACTAAGACTCTATAACTAATAAGTACTAACCATAGATATTAATTAATATTAATAAATATTTAATTGGTTGTTAGAACAAACCGGAGATGTTGATTTAATAGCATCCTTCAAAGATATCATAAGTGCATTGATAATATTATATTTAAGTTCTAACTGATTCCAACACTGAAATATCTTCAGATTTTTGGTACCATTCAACATATCCCGATGATCTATGTGAAGTTTTTTGTCTACCCACGTCAAATATTCTTTGTTGCCCTAGAAACAATTAAAATATTTGTAAAAACTTAAAATTAACTAAGTATATTGAATTCTATCTTACGTCCACATTTGGTGGAGGCAATAATATACTGAATTTATTTTTAAGTCTTTTGAATACATCATTGCGTTTCGCATTGTTTTTAGGAGATTTTTTTTGGTCTTTTAACTCATCAAGCATTTCCAATAGGCCATCCGATACGGTAATGCCTTTTTCAAATGATGTATTTGGTGAAAGAAGGTATGCTAGATCATTTATTTCATACCATTTCTCTACATTCTGTAATAATTAAATTGGTATTGAAATAAAATGAAATATAACGTTACTTTAAAAAAAAATTAAATTAGTTAATACAAACCATCGGATCTGCTTCAGTCTGATCAGTGATATGGCATTTTATATCTTTTTCATCAGTGTTAGTTTCATTAGTGTTGTCCAAATTGTCATTCTTAAAAATATCCCGAATTTTTTCCAAATTATTTTCAAAATCGTTTAATAACTTCATAACAAGCAATTGTTGGTTCTCTAATTCAATCATTTCAGTTTCGTTCAATTTAGGTTTCTGTAAAATAAAAACATTAATCTCAAAATATATTTTTAGCAATATTAGTAAATCATTTATATTGTTTAAATTTGGTTTTAACCTGCATCAGTGTCTTGATTTTTTCTTCTAAGTTATTTATTTCATCAACCGTGTTATTGGCCTGTTGTTCAATTATTGTTAATTCTCGAATTGATGATTGCTTCATGAATGTTTCGGGTTTGCCAACAACAAATTCCTATAACATACATTTTTATATCATGACTTTTAATTTATTTTATACAACTCACTGAGAATAATGTATTTTCATCAAGAGTATCGTCATCGGAAGGTAGTAATAAAGCCTTGATCAATGGAAATAATGTTGGTTGAGGTGGAGAAAGAATATCATCTGGTTTTACGACTACCTTCACCTTGGAAATTTTTATTTTCTTGGATTTCTTTGATTTCTTAGATTTTTTAGTTTTATTAATTTTCTTTGCTTTCTTAGATTTCTTTCCTTTCTTACCTTTCGTTGATTTGTTTTTTGTTTTTTTAGCGGTTTCTGCTGTATTTTGAATTAATTTTGGTTCTCTGCATATTTTTAGAAATTCATCAAAATGTACTGAACCTACAGGAGTAGAAACCGGTATAACGGTGTCAATGGTTTTAATAATTTTTTTGGGTTTCTTGGTTTTTTTAGTTTTGGATTTCCCCTTGGATTTGTTCTTGGATTTATTTTTGGATTTGATATTGATTTTCACCATTTATAGAAATTAATTTATCAGTATATAATAAAATTGAAATAATAATTTAAAACGTGCTTAAAATATATTTATTGCAATTCAACTGCAATTTAATAATTTTTTTCTAAAAATAATACATAATTAACATTGTTATTTTTCTTAATATACAATATTAATATGTATCTTTGGTGTCAGTAAATTATTTTTTTGATATTTACATATTGTTTTAAGCCAATATCCCGAGTGTACAATTCGATGTATATATTATTTAAAAAAAGTATATTATCTACTACATATAATTATCATCTATAGGTAAGATGAATCAAAAATTTTTAAAATCGTATTATTTATTATTATACCATTTAACAATTAGAAATGAAATTCGAAGAATAATCTGTACTAACTTGTAGTATATGCTGTACTAACTTGATGGTCCGTACTTCTTTTACGTAAATAATGCTTAATGTACAACGCATATTGTATGAATTGTAAAATGTTCATAAAAAAAAAATGGTTAGGTTAGGTTAAGCCTAACCTGTCTAATTGTATAAAAGTAGATTTTTTTATTGTCTAATATTTAGTATAATTAATATAAGATTGGTATAAATTGAAGTTGTTTTATATTTTATGAGGTAAATTTGTACAAATTATACCTAATTGATTTAATAATATAAACCTTTATAATTTTTTAAACGATAATATGTAGGTTAGGTTATAGCTATAATAACTATGACGCGGCCCGCGTTAGTAGCAAGTACAATGTACAAGCACTATAGCGACCAGTCTATCTTATCTCCAACCACCACCACGGGATGCAAGCAGCGCGACCGGGTTGACTCTCCCACCGAGCCGCTAACGGCAAGGCGGGACGGGGGGACTGTGTCGCGTAAGACGTACAACGGTCGGCGAAAAAGTCGATTCGAGATCCACCATCGGACCTTCGGACCGATAACATATCGTCCGACGTTAAACTCATCTGCCCGAGTGGCACGTCATGTATTATTATATTTTGGTCGCAATATTATAATACATAATTTGTGACATTCTTAAAGTGTTTGTGTTGTGTTTTTTTCATCACCCTTGAAGCAATCATCGTGTCAGCGTCAAATGGCTCCCCGCAGAGGAATTAGTCCGGTCAGCGAAAAGGTAAGAGTTTTTCACGTTGACACATACCTCGGATTATTTGCTTATATCATTTAGTATTGAGATATTTAACCAGGAGTGTGTTTTTTCCGGTTAGCTAGGATTTCCAATCTACCCAAGTTAGGATTACGTAATAGGTATTAACCATTAGGTATAACTCTGCTACGTAGGGGAAATCCGCGCGATTGAAAATAACCGTGATACGGAATGGGAAGCAGTTACATAACGTAATGCCACCCTTCCCGGCGCTCACCTTTCGTCCGCGACTTTATTTCCGATAACAGCGCAGCGCGCAGGCCGCGACGTCAAAACCAGTCGTCGTCACCGCCGCCGCCGCCGCCGATTCCGTGACCCAGTTTCGCTATATTTGGTACACATCGGCGGCCGTCAACAGCTGACTATTGTTTACGTCGGCGTAAATTATTTGATAATAGTCGTTCAATACTCGCGTATTCGCGCATGTACGTACCCACACACCACCGATTTTGGAAGACACTGACGCTAGCGATTGGTATAGGCCACCGTCCGGGGACAACATTGCTAGCTTTAGGGTTATGTAAATATCCACGGATGGCCAGCCGGTACACAACAGTCCAAGCTCCAGTCGACCACAAATCAGGCAGGGACCGCGCACGTATAGAACGACAAACTTCTCAAAGCCGCCTCGAAATCAAAAAAAAATCAAAAAAATATCGACGTTATCGTTACACCAATCAACCGAAACGAAAACGTTCGAGTCACGTTGGTTGGCGCTGTAAGCTAGCATGGCGCAGTTCTTCACGGAACAGCCAACAGCGTGCAGCAGCCACACAATTTTGAGATCCCGTGGCCTATCAACCACCCGTCACCCGTACACGTTACCACTCGCACACACGATGGTTACCAGTCGGGTAGGTCGTTCGAGTAGGTACAACGTAGTCAGCGCCCAGCCGGGTGTCAGTTACATTGCCACCTTAAATGAACGACCTTTTTCAACGACCACTCTGGTCAAACGGGAAGCGCGTCGCGCTACCCGTCATACGCCGCATGCGCGCAGGTACGATCGGTGTTAATACCGAGTTCTAAGCAGAACAAGGGCCGAGCATCCCGTCCGGTTTTTAGCCAACACCGAGCGTTACTCGGACAAGCGCGTAGACACTAAAACGTACACATAATCACTTACGGAATTTGTGCTGATTTAAAACCAGCTCGCGCCCCGCACGTTAATACTGGCCTATCCGAATCGGACCTAACCTAACCTATTCCCCATTATATTTACTGCACTGGTCGGTTTATTTTTCCTTGAGAAATTGTTTTCTAGTGGACACAATTATATGGGCAGGGGAGTTTTCACTCCATTTTCATACCTGTGAGGTAGTCCATTTGTTAATAGGTTACTTAACATAATAATATGTGCATATAATAAAATATAAACATAAATATGGTTTACATTATTCCTTTACAATACAGATAAAAATTCATTCATTGTTTACAATATAACTTTTTACTGATCAAAATTCGGGATATTCGATTTATGCCTATGATTCTTATCTAAAAGATAACAAGTTCTTTAACCTCAACCAATCACTACGAATTTGGTGTCTATACAAATATCACCATAGTTACAATGGTATATTAAGTTACAATAATAATAACAATTTACAATTTATATATACAGTTAATTCAGATTAGTATGAGATGAAAAATAAAATTTTAAATAAAGTTAAATTATAAATGTTTACATTTATTTTCACATATCTCACGCTCAGCAAAAAATAAAACACAACAACAATCATCACTTATTAGCTATACCTATACATAAACAGTAGGCATTATATTATAATAATTCAGTTTTCGTTGTGACTTTGTAAATTGTCTTAGGTATAATAGCTCAGAATAATGAGCTGTAATCAGTTACGTGCTCGACAACAAAACACGTTGATTAGACGAATTGGCATTGCCACGGTCAATCGGAACTGCCTGTCCCAGTCCCAACATACTGCATTGCTGTCAACGCCCAAAGGGTGGACGCCGCACGGTTTGAGTTTCATAATAAAAAAATGTCGGAAAACAGGTGGGCTGGCTGCGAATGGCCGTCATCGTGAGACCGGAAAGCACACATTCTTTGACGTAAACACGACGATTTGGCCTCAGTGAGTACCTACTACCTAAAAATTATGTCCTATCTAAGTAACCTATTCATTGTTATCCCGACTCAGCACTTATTTTATTTGTGCTGAAATTATATGAACACAATTTATTACTGATTTTTAAACTTATTTTAACTTTAATAGGTGGTAGAAAAAAATATGAAATAAATAATTTAAGTTTATTTATTTAAGGGGCCCAGTGTCAGTTTTTTTAAATATTCCACAATTCTATACAATTTAAAAATTAAATATTATATTTTAGTTGCTATCTTAATTATAATACTTTTCCACAAATCTGCTATCTGATTCCTGTTTATGGGGGTGTATTATAACAAAAAAAAAAAAAAAATGACTTCACGGGAGTAATTCTCAGGTCGTCTGAACAAAGATTAATTAGAAAAAAAAGTTATTTTATTTGTCAGGTATTCCTGTTACATAATGTGTAAGAATTGGTTACAAATGTTCCCTGTGTAATATAATTAGACTTTCATTATTATTCGAATGTACTTAGGGAATTGTTACGATGTTTTTGCAATAAATCTGTACAGGATAAGCTTTCTATATTGTTAATATAATATACCTACCTATATAAATTAGCTAGAGATTTTATAATGGTGTTTATTTATTTTTTTTTCTTGTATACAACATTTCTACCATAAGGAGATTTCAACATATACCTAGGACCTTATCTTTTAGCAAATTTTATCAAGATGGTACTTTAAACTGGCCATTTTTCGATTTTCTCAACAGTTATTTAATGCCACGTGATAAACTACTGACAAATTACGAAAAACCACTTAAAATGGGATTATAATTTCTAACCTAGCAACGAATAAAAAAAAATAATATTATAATATTAATTCAACTTAATGGCTATAACAAATAATAAAAATATAAAAAATCCAGACTGATAAACCGTCTCCAATCAGAATCGTTTTTCTTATAAAATGTCTTATATTATTGAATTCAGGTTTAATACAATCCATTATACACTGGCCCTCTTCTAACCTAACCTACTGTACAGCAGAACGACATCTGGTGTACCGTCAATTTATCGTAAACAATTTACCGCGCGACAATTGACCGTAAACAATTGATCGCAAGCCAATTGATCGCAATTGCAATTTACCGCACGATAATTGATCGCAAACTATATAGGTTATTTCAGAGTTATTTTAAGGCCAATATTATTTTTTCGTAACTTTATTCAATCGTTAACGATTAAGTCTTATCTAACATTATACTCGTACCCTATTTTATCAGTCCGTATTTTTCTATATCTATTTATAGAATATAGATAACCATGAAACACTATGAAAATATATCAGTATTGACACAATCGTCAATCGGTATATACTAATAACTTCGTGTAGCTGAAAGTAATGTACATAGAATATGGCTTTAGAGTACGTATTAAGCTCAATTCAATTTGGCGATTTATAGATGCATTAAAAAAAGAAGAGAGCATTAACAGATTCAAAATAGAACAATATGTTCCGGTAAATTTACCGAGATATAGCAGCTAAAATAAAAAAAATTTGTACCATTTATAACAATAATACAAAATATATTGAAGACTATCTTCGTGGCATTGCATACAATTTTCAATTGCAAATTTAATATTTAGTGTTTTTCATTATTATAAACCTACCTTGATGATTTATTATAATATTATATTTATTTATTTTTTATATTCAATTAAATGTACCTACAAATATTAACGAGGTGGCCGAGAGTCTAACGCGTCGGCTGTGGTGCTGGCAGCCGAATTCTGCCAAAACCCCAACACACACGTGTTCCTCCCCTACCGACATTAACAACCCACAAATAAACCACTACAGCTAATGGCCATAGTTGCCGAAGCTTAAGATCAATAAAAAAAAAAAAAAAATATTGCAGATTATAATTTTAAAAGTTAAATTTTTATAGATAGAATAATTTTTAATGATCAATTGACGTGTATCCACGACATCAACTTACCAGCTTTTTTTATTTATAGTTTCGTAAAACAATTTCTACAAAGTGCAGAATACAATTTAGCTCCAGCCACAAGGATAATATTAACAAAAATTTTACCCTCGAGAGTGAACTTTTCTGACCCGTAAGTATAAAATATAATAAAATCTACTCTTTAAATATTATTAAAATAATATATAGTAATATATTATACTAAAAAACAGTGGCGTAAATATACTATTTCGAACCCGATACGAAATTCAAAAAGGCTCGTTTCCTGGGTTTCTAATTTTATTTAAGCTCAGTACTGTGGAAGTATTACGTTATCATTATTTATTTTATGTTTTACTATATTAAGCAAACAGAATGGCACCTGCACATTAGTGCTTATTTCTTATATTCCTCTATTTACGCAACTGATAAAAATATGCCTAGGTACATGTTCAGGTAACGCATACGTTTTTTTACATCATTACCTACCTATATACACAGGAAATGGTCCAGCTACAGAAACACTCAAACGGAGTTATGTCATTTTTTGAGCAATTTGAATCCAGACTGTGATTCAATTAATTGGAAGGGAGATTTTTTCAGAACTTTAACATCTTTGATATTTAATTATATGGTCCAAGTACTTTGTAGTGGTCGGATATCAAAGAAACAAAAAATGGCACATGTGATTCTAAAGAAGATTAATAATGTAACCAACGAATACGTGTTACTTAACTCACCAGACAATTTTCTACAAGGGGTTCAAATATTTGTAGCCAATATGCTATCTCCATGGCTAGAGAAACCCATAAATTATATCTGCAGTAAAGCCACTAGTAATAAAGATTCAATGAACAATAACACGGATAACGAAATTGAAAATCAAAAAATTGGTATTGAAACAAAAGATTCAAAAACCAATGAATTAAGTAAAAATAAAACAAATAGACTTAAATTAAAAACCGCAAAAAAATCAAAAATTAACCCAAAATCAAAAATAGGTAAATTTACAAAAACCATCAATAAACGCAGATTGTCTTCGCAAAACTCATACAAAGCTACAAAAATAATAAAAACGAACAGAAAACCGAAAAAAGGTTTAAAACTTTTCCCAGTGATTACTGCGGTAGATGACTCAGAGAAAATAATTGAAAACCATGAAATATTATCGAATTCCGTCCTTGTAAGGCATCCAGCTAGTAAAAATATTATTAAGAAGAAAATAAAAAATAATAAAAAGTCAAATCACTTTAAGAATGAAAATAACCAGAAATCCAAAAAAAGCAAAAGTTCAAAAACCTTCGTTAAAGGCAGCCTGTCTTCGCAAAGCTCCAAAAAAGTTACAAAAACAATAAAAACAAACGGAAAATCAAAAAAAGGTATGAGATTTACCCCAGTGATTGCTGCTGTAGATGACTCAGAAAAAATAATTGAAAACCATGACGTATTATCGAATTCCGTCCTTGTAAGGCATCCAGGCAGTAAAAGTACAATTAAGAAGAAAATAAAAAATAACAAGAAGTCGAATGACATTAACAGTGAAAATAACCAGAAATCCAAAAAAAGTAAAATTTCAAAAACCATTGTTAAAGGCAGCTTGTCCTTGCAAAACCCCAATAAAGCTACAAAAAAAAAAATTAACGGAAAATCGAAAAAAGGTTTGAGATCGGTGACAGTAATTGCTGCAGATGAATCAGAGAAAATTAGTAGAAACAATCAAATGTTATCAAATTCTGTCCTCGTAAAGCATTCAGTTAGTAAAAAAGTAAGCAAGACGAAAATAATAAGTGAAAAGAACTCAAACATTCTTGAGGATGTTAGCAACACTAATGGTGAGTACACAAATGTGGAAAATGGTAAAAATGAATTGATGACAGGTAATGAACAGTTAACAAAATCAACAAAACAATTACAAAATTACGATACATTTGAAGCAGACAGCAATGGCGTTAAGAAAAACAAATTCATTAACGACGATGTAGAATCACTCAGACAAGCTACAGACGCAGAGAATACTCACGCTATGATCGACACGACTCACGATGAAAGAAATGACGATGGTCAAAGAATTGAAACAGTGAAAATTCGTTTGAAATCACATTATGATGGTGATGGTAAATTGTTATTATCAAAACACGGAGATAAGCCGACAACTACGATACCAAACAGAATATCGGATAGCCATTATTATAATGCAAACGAAGATGACGGAATACTGAATGTGACGGATTATAGTAGACATTCAGTAACGAAGGCCAATGATTTGTCGGGAGAAAATGATATTAACATATTGAGAAGCGAAGAATTAATAAAATATAATGACAAAACTTCGATTGACGTTGATGATGATGGTTATAGTGACGTCAATACAGACCATGATAATGGTTTTGACGATGATGACGGGCATCGTATTATAATTATGAACGAAGATGGGGAAGAATTCGAATGTAATATTTTTATTTTCATTATAACAGTTAAACTTTATTAGAAATACTTAGGACCAGTTTTTCAATCGATTTTATTCATCGAATACCTAACCAAATTTATTCGCTAGCTTACAAAAATATACAATTTTTTGGTTTTTCAATGTCAGAGAAAAAGTCATATTCGAACAATAAATCTCAAATAAGTTATTCAGTACTTTTTCTACTGAATAAGATGTTATTTGACGAATCTATCAAACAATTGATGCTATCAATTATAATATTTAGGTACAATATTAATGATAATACTATATTTTGTAGTAATATTTTTAATATTTAATATAATTTAAATTCGTTAGTCATTACGTCTTTTCTTCTGTTTTTCTGTTTGTAAAAATTTACATTTGAGATCTAATTATGGACTTATTCGAAATTTTTGAAAATTGTGATATTAAAATCATTGAGTGTTCAAATCATCAACGATATATGTACACAATGCATGTATGAATTTATCACTTAACATTTTGGGAGGATCAAGACTTTAAAGTTACCTAAATTTAAAATCCCAAAAGAAGTGGCTATTCAAGTTTTGGGATATATATTAAATAAGAAAATATCTACACAATGATACAGGTGAGTACCTAAAACATTAACCCAGCCAGGGGCGTAATTAGAGAGGATTAGGGGGGATTATTATATTTATAATTAAAAACTTTTTTTTTAATGCTAAAATTTTGATCAAAGTATTGATAATGACCATTCATGTTTGTTAACAACGTATATCCCAACCCACACAACCAAATTCCTAATTACTCCACTGAACCCAACACCCTGTACTCGAATCAATGTCTTATATTTTATGAGTATTTTTTTAATTCTTTCATATACCAATATTAAACTTGCAACTTCTCTAAGCTATAATTTATGTATAAAAAAATGTATTTAAATATTAAAGTAGCTATAATATTATAGTCTATACTACACAACCTTCTGTAGTTGAATTGTATTTTTCAGAAATTTATAACCAGCATTTATTTTTATCTTTACACTGCAAATCATTGGACTCTTTATTTTCTAGGAGAAAATGGTTTTCAGTGGCAATATTAATGACAACTCCTTGTAAAAATAAGTAACATAATTGTCACACATTATTAGGTGATTTTGTCCTATCACTGATAAAGTGATATATTTTGGTATGATTTTGAACCAATCAAATAAAGTTGATCAAAACAATTTATTTCACAACACACTATTATCTACTAACGTCTGTTAGTATCAAAATCAACAGAATAGATTAATTCTCCGAATAACAAATTTATCTTCCAAATAGTTATTCAAAAGATAAGTTTGTATTAAAAAACACTGGCCAACATCTTGTTTTCTTAGGAAGTTTCTTTGTTGAATGACTTTATTCGATGAATAACTGGATGATTGAAAAACCGGCCCTTGTTAATCATTTGAACTTTATAATATTAATAATCAAAATACTGGAACAAATATAAATTAATCTACATAATATATTATTATTTATGTTTTTATTTTTAATTGTACAATATTACAGTCCCAGTCTAAACAAATAACTTAATAAAGATATTCTTATTTAAAAATAGAACATATAATTTTTGACTTTTCCCATTGAATTCAAACACAATAATCAGCTAATTGGTCATCCACATAAATCTAACTTCTAAAACTCGTCTAAATCTTAGTCTATTCTCATATTTTTAATAAAGTAAAAATTAAGAACAACAAGTTAGTAAGTACTAATTTTACATTTAAATAAAATAATAATTAATAAATATATTTTTCTTTACTGTTTTATCGTATACGAAAATAATGGGATATAAATATTCTTCATTGATCTCTATATCACATATAATATGTTTAATACTACAATTATTAAATTACTAATTTGAAAATTAAACTATTGAGTGTTTGAGGAAAACAATTTTTAAAGTAGCTTAAGAAACTGATCTTAAATCATACGATTGTCCGTTAGTACGTTAGAAAAACGATATTATAATATTTTGATTTTGGTATTTTTAAAATATAACGTTAAGTATGTTTAGCCTGTTTAGGTATGTATATTTGACTAATTTATATTTTGTTAGTCAGTGGTAATGAAAACTATTATATTATTAGTTATTTTGGTAGCAATAACCTTACAACCTAATACTTATAGGAATTATAATGGGAAAAATGAAAATATTATTATTAAAATAAAATTAATTAATATATTTTATACATATAATATTTATTAAATGGTAAATAAATTGAACGTCTGAAAAATCGATCAAATTCATTAAAAATATGAACGTCGTTCATGTTCGAACACGAGTGACGTTCGCGTATCGTTCACCATATATGAAGGTCAACGCGTGAACATGCGTTCATGAACGACGTTCTTTCCGAACTCTGCTTTTTTTTACAGTAAAAATGCTTCAATTTTCTTCAAATTTTATTTTCCAAGAAGAAAGTGAATCTAGTTGGTAGATTGGGAAGTCAAAAGTAAAAAAATCCCAATAGTTTTCAAAATTAAGGAAAAACTGAGATATTTACACAAAACCAGTTTTTGAAAAAATCAATTGTTTTTATTGTAACTATAAAAAAAATAACCATATATAGATAAAGTTTTCAGTTAATGTTTTTATTAAAAATTTGAACACACCATAACGTTTTCTAAAATACTTTGAAAATTGTTGAGCTATTTATAGACATGAGAAAGTTTCGAGTCTTATTACCTAGTTTTTTTTTAAACTTTTGCCGATTTTCATTCAAAAATTTCAAAATATAGTAAAACGTTCTTTATAAGTTTATATCAGTGAAAATTCGTAAATTCACAATAATTCTTTATGAGTGTGAATTAAAATTGTTGACAAAGTTCATCAAACACACGAAAATTGGCAAATTATTTCGAGTTAGAAATTCATAAAAATGTTTCTATTTGTATCTAATATTTGAAATTGTTATACAAGTTTCCCCTTAAGTTTTCTACATTTAACAAAAAGTTTACTGGAAAGTTAAAGTTTTACGAGCGTTTGAAGTTAGACATTACCCGTAAATTAGCAAATTCTCATACAACGATTTCCTTATTTTGTAGTTAATCAAAAACTATTAACAGTAGGTACTTGAACTGTTCATAAAATATTCATGTTATTCATGTTTGATACTTGATAAATGTTAAGTTATTTATAAACATTTGAAATTTGAAATTTGTTTTTTATTGGTACTTCAAATTAAAATGTTTATAAAATTCATCATAATCCAGCTCCATGTCCCTGGCACACCCCCACTTTTGAATTTTGGAACAAAATGAACTCCATTCGTATGTGCTTTATTTGTGCTAGTTTGTGCTTTTAATACCTTCGTTTATGCTCAACCACTTCCAAAGTTATTCAACTTTGAAAGTTTGGGGCTAACTCCCCCTTGTAAAAAATCATTATTTTATCTTGTGAATCTGTTCAAAATTGTCCACATAATAATTTTTACCTCTATTAGGTCTTTATTCATAAAACATTTGGTTTGCCAGAAATATATATTATATATAAATAAATATGCAAAAAAAATTTTATTTTTATTTTATCCAAGTGAAGTTACTTTTTTATATTTTACCTAGTTATAAACTTTTTTAATAATAATAAATGTAATGGGGAAAAGTTATTGACTAAACAATTTTGAATTACAGTCATACAAATTTGAACTTTTGTCTTTAAAAAAAAAAAAAAAAAATAAACATTTAAAAAATGTGTGTTCTTTTCGTTACAAATGGTTGCTATTAATTTTAAAAGAAAATATAGATAATATGTACTTTGAAGACGATACGAACATTTTAGGGTGCACACTTTACAGATAGTACATATAAATTATAAACAACTGGTTTTGAACATGTATTCAATTATACTTGTAGTATGCATACTGTCTATATCTGCATATAATATCATAATAATATATAATAAGTATAATATTATTAAAAAAAAACTAATATTCTTAAATTTTTATTATAACAATTTAGTATAAATATCTGTTATATGAAAATATGCATAATATACACCTTTAATAATTAAATATTGAACAATTCTCGAATAAACTAAAAAATAATAATTAGGACGACGAACTCGTCACAAGCGTTGTATCGGAGTGATGCCTCACTAAATCAGAGTTCTACAATGCGTAGGTATCAAATTAAATTTTGTTTGAATATATTATTTTTGATATAAAAACACTGCAATTGACACAAGCAAGTACAACAATTAGTTAGAAATGTCCTTATACTTAAGTTTCATTGATTGAGTCGACATTTTTTTTTAAGATCGACAATCATGCACTTACAAACTTTTCTAATCCACATAGGTTTGATTTTCCAAAATACCTAGAATATATGTAAAGTACCACTGTCTCACAATTATATATTTAGTGGTAGGCTGTAAGTCCATTTACTAAACTTAAAAAAAAAAATGTATGGGTTTTTTCTGGCGAGCCTAATATTTTACAACTAAAGACCATAGAGGTAAAAATGATTATATGGACAGTTGTCATCAGATTCGCAGGAGAAAATAATTTCTTTTACAAAGGGGAGTAGCTGGGATTACATTTCAGCCCCCAACTTTCAAAGTTGAATAATTTTCGAAGGGGTTGAGCTCAAACGAAGCACAAACGAATGGAATTAATTTTCTATCGAAGTTAATTTTGTTCTAAAATTCCAAAGTGGGGGTTTAGCATGTCCCAAGCCCCCCGACTTTGTAAATTGAATAACTTTAGTAGGAGTTGAGCACAAACGATAGGATTAAAAGCACAAACAAATGGAGTTAATTTTGTTTCATAATTAAAAAGTGGGGGGGGGGACATGGAGCTTCATAATCCTGAATTTGCAAATTATCTTGTAGTCAGATATTCATAAAAAAAATTTCGTTTTATACCTAAGATTCGAACATTTAATACAAGGTTACTCATAAGTATTTTGAATAGTAGTTAAAAATTAATAAAGATCTATAAGTACGATTTTTTATAAGTATTTAAAGTTCAAATTTTGATAAAATGTATGAAATTCAAAATGTGCAAATTACTTAGTAGTTGAAAATGTATAAAATTTTCAACTTTTATAGCTAAGGATTCTCATAAATATTTTATACTCTACCTAACCAAAAAATCTAAAAATATATAAACACAGTTATTTCTTACAGACATTATAAGTTCAAATTTGGACGAAATCACATATCAATACTAAGGATAACAATTTTAGTTATTTTGTTGTAATTTAAAAATATAACTTGTGGATTGATATATGAAACTATTAGGTTTTATTATTATATTTTATATACACAATTTAGCAAAAATGTATTTAACCTACTGCTGTACTAACGCCTAATAGTAAAGTAAATTACTCAATAATACCATAAAATATATAACTCGTACAGTTCATCTTAGCCATCAGCTACCGTCACAATTACCAACACAGTTGGATTACTTTATATTAAAAGATAGTAATCGTAATGGTCACCGATGGTCAAGATGAACTGGACAGGTTATACTTGGTAATATTTTATAGGTGGACAGACCAGCGGTCTTCACTCAGAATCGTTTTTCGTATACAATGATTTTATTGAATTAATTTAATTAAAATTATCATCATCCATTACAGTGATCCACTTGTAGCCTACTGTACATCAGAGTAACTTCCACTTATCTGTTTTTTTTTTTATATAGATACGTACCGTAACAACATTTTTCATTATGTATAAATAATAACCGACACTCGCATATTGAATATAAACATATAATATTATTTTGCTTACTGGTTTGTATATTAGCTCGCATTCTGGACGATCTTGCAAACGTAGTTTTGAATAGTTCGCCGGCAGGTTGGAATAATAAACACGATGATGGTATCACAGCTACGGAATCAAGAGGAGACGAATCTAAAAGAAATTGTTTTCAAATATGTTCAGATGGTTTTGTACGTAGCTAAATTATTATTAAAGCATTAAGAGGACTCCACACGGGCATTTGCTGTCATTTTCTTACAAAAGTACAATATGGCAAGTTGTACGTTTACAATAATACATTTGTAAAATTAAAGTGAATTTACCTCTTATACAATTTAAATTTAAGATTGTTATCTTAAACACAATAGAGGCTTTAATTCATATTTTTATTAAGAAACAATTTATAAGCATTTTTAAACTGTACATTTTTTATAAATTCTTTTTCTTCATTGGCATCAGAACTCTTCAAGAGCTTTTGCCGCCACCAACACCTACTTTCACTCTTCTCGATTTTATACTTTTTCTTCCCAATCCGCTATCTCTAGTTTCCTTAAGTCCTGCTTTATTCAATCTATCCAACGCTTCTTTGGACGTCCTCTTGGCCTCCTCCCTGTGGGTTTCCACTCAACACCGCTTTAGGATATTCTGAGTTTGGCCTCCTCATCACGTGCCCAAACCATTGTATTCTTTGTGCTTTCACAAAGTTGGTGATTCTTGTAACCCCTGACAAATATCAAATTTCTTTGTTCTTTATTCTGAGCCAGCATCCTAGTTCGTTGCCATATATTGGGCCTTAGATGGTTCTCAGTATTTTGTTTTCGAATGACTTAAGTTTTTGTTCCCTTCTTTTAGTTAAAGGTCATACCTCACATCCATAAGTTAGCGTTGCACGTTGGTCTAATTATTGCCGTGTAGAGGTGTACTTTGATTATTCTAGAAAACAGTCTAGATTTTAGGTATTTATTTAAGGGGCCTGGTCGCGATTTTTCAAATTTTCCGCAATTCTATAAAATTTGAAAATTAAATTTTATATTTTAGTTGCCACCTCAATTATAAGACTTTTCCACTAATCTACTACCCAATACCTATTTAGGGGGGTTGATAGGGTGTACTATATCGGTCAAAACACAGTTTACAGGAAAAACTCTCACACCTCGTAGATTGGTCCGATTTCCGTAATTTTTTTTTTGTTAGATAGAAAAATATTTTTTACAGGGCGCATTGGACTTTGATTTTTGATTACGTTGCTAAAAATAAATAATAATACAAAAACTAAAAAGTTGTAAAAATGGATTAAATTCAAACTTGTAATATAAGATTTCGAAAAATAATTTTGAAAATCCAAGTCCAATGCGCCCTGCAATACGTCTTCCTCTATTTAACAAAAAAAAAAATTACGGAAATCGGACCAATCTACAAAGCGTGAGAGTTTTTCCTGTAAGGCATGTTTTTGAGCAAAAAAACAGGTCTCGACCAGGCCCCTTAACGGAAATGATGCCTTTTCTGCCTTGATGATTCGGCTATTTAATTCTATGGACCAGTCATTATTATCCCTGGTAGAAGACCTCACATATGTAAATTAGCGTACTTTTCAAAGTGTATGTCCTTGAATCTCTACATTGTCAGACTGGTTGTTGACTGGTAATAACTCCATTACTTTAATTTTTACATTTACATTCAGCCCTATGGTTTTGTTTCGTTAATGAGAGTTACTCTCCTCATCGTCACCGACTATATTCAAATTATCAGCAAACCGTAGAATACCAATCTTCTTTGATCTAATGTCGACACCACAATTATCCTTTTGTATACTCCATACGCAATATTGAACAGTAGGGGTGAAAGAGTGTCACCTTGCTTTAAGGTTGTTACCACTTGGAATTCTTCGGATAGTACCTTGTCAACTTTTACTTGATATTTTGTGTCATTCATGCACACTTTTGTCAGGGAAATAAGCTTAATTGTAATTCCAAATTCATACATTATATGATAAAAGTTCTCTCAATGGATGCTAAAAGCCTTTTTTAAATCAACAAATATACCTGCCACATATTTTGTTTATATTCCAACTTTTTTTCTAAAATCTGACCATTCACCGACAGCTAATCTATTATCTTTGCAAAAAAGTTCCTTATTCTACCTTGTGTGAGGTCTTGTTCTGTTTCAATCAATAGATCATTCATGTAGTTTCTTTTTTCTTTCTGAATGATAAGTTTACATGCTTTCCGTTCTGCTTCAAATTTTTTTAGCTAAAAAGTTTAAGGTCTTAAGCTGGAAGAAGTACCTTTGGAGGGTACCTAGCCTAACCTAACCTAACCTAACCAAAATAGGTGCATTTGAAAATGCTTCTCACTCTTTGTAATTTGAGCAGAGACTTTCATAATTTTAGGAATTGGTCCTTATCACAATCTGCACCCCTATAACTTATCACATATATTATACTTGATCTATGTCGTTTTTTAATAATACATGGTAAATTTGAATCATAGTCCGTCCGTCTAGAGACTCCGGGTATATTTGTGGATGTTTTTGTGAGAAAAAGTATTGCTACTGACTACCATACTTCTAGATGTCACTAAAAAATTATTCTCTGACCGTTATCATTGCTCTCTTCGTGGGCATTTTCTAATCCAATAGTGTGCACAAATATTAGTTCCTTCCCTATTTTGGCATTTGTATCTCCCAGCACAATTTTTATTAGTTTATAAGTATAATAAACTTCCAGGTGATCTATCATAAATCTTGGTGACTCCTTCATAGAGTTTATCTTTATCTACTTCGTTACTATTTTCTGTTGGTGAATCTATATTTATTAGGCATATCTTCTTGGGATTGGTTGTTAATCTTATTGTATGGATTCGTTCAGATACTGGGTTAAATTTGAGTACACAAGATTCATAGTTCTTATGTACTACAAAACCCGTCCAAAAATTATGTCTATTATTCGTTCCTTTGTAGTAAATAATGTATTCGTTAATCTTTATCTGTCCTTCACCCGTCCATCTAATTTCCTCGAGTGCCACAATTGAACCTGTATACTGAATCAATATTTCTGTGAGAGTCTGGAATGCACCGGCACGACATAAGGTTAAGGTGTTCCTAATCGCGATCATAATCTCCTTGTCCTTCCGTTTCCTCTTTCTGTTTTTGTTATCGTTTTTGCGTTTTTGGTGGTTTCTTAACAACAGTTTTTTTTACGATGTAGGGTTGTTAGCCCTACGATAAACTCTAAATACCTCGAAGAGAAGGAGCTCGAGGTCTCTTGTTTGCTAGACCCGTAACACAATAATTGTCTTTCACCTGGGTTATACTTAAACATAATAATATCAATGAAATCATACAAGGTACCCTAAATAATATTCTTACCTTTAAATTTTATAAGAGTTAAATTCACTGTTATCGTAGAAATTACAATTGCAAAATGTATTATTGTGGACGTTAAATTGTCCATGTTGTACGTTTGTAAGACAGAGATAACAAATGCTTTTATGGCGTCTTCTTTAAGTACATATTTACCTAATATAGTATCACTCATGTGTGAGTGTTTCGCACCTTTGAGGGGAGGGCGATAACGAAAAATTCAAATTAAAAAATTAGATGCAGCTCACATTGCACTTACTATTAACCTGCCATTTGTTCTAATATTTATTAATTATGCTTCATCAATGTTAACAACTACCTACTAGAAACTACTACTGTACTTTTTGGCATATTAATATAGTAATACAGTGAGGAGTATTTATTTTAGAATTTTATGTTCATAATTGTTTATTGATTTATACAATATTGACCTATCATTATCACAAAATGTATTCACCTTGGATATAGTATTGTTAGTTATTAGTTATTACGTAATATATTATGTAAGTTGTTGACATCGGTTATTTAAACTAAATTTTAGGCACAGAGATTACTAGCGGATACTTTTAGAAATAAAGCATTGACACGTCGGGAAGTTTTTGATCAAAGTACAGGAGTTGCCTATAATATTTGTAAAAAAGATGGCAGCAATTACAGTGTTCGCAAGACAATACTGCCACAAATCAAAAATAAAGATCTTCAATGTACCATGTGTCCATTAGATAAATCCAAATTAGTAGTTAATACATTAATTGAACTGAAGGATTAAACAGTTGGAAATTTTATTTTCTTAAATTTTGTAGGTATCAGAATTCGATAATATTTCTTGGATAAATGAATTATGTGAATTTTATTGCATATTTAAATTATCTAACCTAAGTTTAATAAAATTAATCCTAGTTCCCCAGAAAATTCGACTAAATTCTAATAAATTGAAACCTAGTAGCCACCTTATTATATTATTATTTTATTATTTTTAAATCAACACGCATATTATGACTGTTTTAAATATTTTATTTTCGTTTTGTTTATGAAGATTAAACGGGCTGAGCACTTTTTAAATAACTGCAGTAAATTGTAATCTTTACAACTTAAGTTAAATAAAATATTTACGTTGGTATAGGATAAGCCTTGACTAAGATGCTAGAAACGTTTTAATTTTAAACTGTATAATATAAACGACTGACAAGATTTTCTTTTGATATTGAATGTGAAAAACTATTGAATAATGAATTAATCATTTTAAATAAATTGACTGTATTTTGTTAGATCATTTTGTAAGGATACTTAAAGTAATTTATGAAAGCTATCATATATCTTTCAATATACTTACATAATTTACTGTATAATATCTATGATGAATATAACATATTTGGCTATCAAGATAACTGTTATTCCTTTTATTCAAAAAAATATATATAATAATTATTAACAAATATATTAAAAAACATGTTAAAGAAACTAAATAGTAGGTACTTACTCTAGAACAAGCTATCAAAATGTAGGATCAACTTTTATAAAAAAACATTGAACCTGTAACAACTGACAAATCATAAAGAAAAGGTTTATATAATAAAGATCCACTCCATTCAATAAACTAACAATACCTACTAAAAAAATGAGGCCTAACATTTTCAATTAATATAATTAATATTTTAAAGTAAATCTGGTGACTTTATTACAATCTTAAACATTACTCACCATAAACAGTTAGATAGTCTAAATAGGTAAAATTTGAAAACCACATAATATAAATCTAAATAAAAATATTTTATAATCTCATGTTATACTAATACAATATAATTTTTAACATGTACATTTTTGCCAACAGTGGATTGTAACAAAATATGCTTATAATTTTAATAGTTTTATTTGTTTTAAAAATGTTAGACGTGTCATATGGTCTGTTTTCTGTATATTATCATAAATAATACTGCTGTACTAACATATCAGTTTGACAAACAACTAAGCAAAATTTCGCTTGGTCAAAAAAAATGGAAATATGCAACACAGATTGTAATGAAAGTAATTAAACCCAATGAAATTTAATTTTCATATTTTTACGCAAAAAAATTTAGTTTTATAATAGCATCAAATATTTTTTTTTTTTATTGATCAAAAATTTGTATATTTACAATCTGTATTTACATGTTATACATTAAGTAAATTTGATGAGATTTGATTGTCGGTGGGGAAAGTCACCCAGTGGCGGTACTCCATTTAAGAAAGTATGAAATATTATATTGAAATAATGATAACTATAAACCAGCCACTTAATGTTGAATAAATCAAATAAAAAGCTTAGAAAAATAAATACCCCTTCAATTGAATTAGCTAATCAACTTAATCTTCAATTACTAGTGAACAGGCGGTTTAACAATGATATTTTTTCCTTTATAAATGGTTAAATAACATAATTGTTTGTTCTGAACTTTTAGAAAAAAATTACACTAAATATACCAATCCACACCCTCCGCTCTACTTATACCTTTCATGTACAACCAAAAAAAAAAACTATGGTCACTATGCTCCCATGAATAGAATTTTACTAAATGGTAATTCCATTAAAAACTTTCACTTTTTTTTTGATTCACCAAGCAAGATAAAAAATGTTCTAAGTAATCAGTTATAATTTTCTTCTTATTCCAATTATATGTTGAACATTTGTTGTTTAGATCGTATTTGAATTAATTGTATACTTAATCGAGATTATTATCTATATTTATTACTTTATATTATCTGTATTTACTCTATATATCTGTACTCTTTGCCCTAAAGTGCGTTATTATTATTTTGTTGTATATTTTTCTCTTTACAATAAATTATTATTATTATTATTATTACTAAAAGGTATAAAAGTAGGTACTGTTTTCTGTTGCGTAGCTACGTTACTAGTTATTATTATATCATTAGTACCTAAGTATTTATTATTTAGGTAACTTCGATGCTTATATTTAAGAAACAATTCGTGTATAATAAATCAATGAATTAAAAAAAAAAAAATTCTAATGAAAGTACTGTCCTGCATGTTTGGTTTTATTCTAGATAGCATTCATATTTGGTTGTAGTATAATTCTACAGTGAATCATTTGAATACTAGTATAGATACTCATCATTATGAAAATTTTCAAAAAAAATGTTGGTTCAGCAAAAAGTAGAAAATGATGAGAGTTTTATAATTTCTTATCAAAAAAATCTCTTGATATTATAATATTGTCGTAATATGTAAATATGTTTAACCTACATAATTATACAGGGTGATATTTTTATCATTGAACACTCATTATTTCAAAAAGTATTAATGTTTAAGAAAATATTTTTTTACATAGTTTCAAGTTGTTAAAAAACAATATTTTTACTAAAAAATTATATTTTTAAATATTTTTTATCTTTTTAATTTTTTAAGTTTTTTACTTTTTTGAATGACAACATGTAATTTTAATTTGATATTCAAAAACAGAATATTTTTCTGAGTATTTCGATACATAAAAATTGAATTTAGGGCAATTAGTTTATGAGTTATAAGTATTTAAAGTTTAGATGAGCGGAGTAGAGTGGTACGGGGTTACCCCTCGAAATGTTTGTCCACTACTCCGCTCATCTAAACTTTAAATACTTATAACTCATAAACTAAATGCCCTAAATTCAATTTTTATGTATCGAAATACTCAGAAAAATATTCTGTTTTTGAATATCAAATTAAAATTACATGTTGTCATTCAAAAAAGTAAAAAACTAAAAAAATTAAAAGTATAAAAAATATTTAAAAATATAATTTTTTAATAAAAATATTTTTTTTTAACAACTTAAAACTATGTAAAAAAAATATTTTCTTAAACATTAATACTTTTTGAAATAATGAGTGTTCAATGATAAAAGAATCACCCTGTATTTAAAATCTGCTTACTTGTAATACTATTTATCCATTTTAATATTATATTATTAAACACAATATAGGAAATCCAAAGTACAAATTAATTTATCTCAGTAATAAATGTGCATTTTCATATATTGTTAAAAATTTGTAATTTTATTTCAGTATACATTTTGAGTGTATATAAACGTTTTCCCAAATGCATTGATTTTATACCTATTTTCACAATTTTACACAAATTGTTTTTATAGTAGTATTGTTGTTTAGTAGTTTATAGAAAATTAAATTATAAGTCAGAACTATTTATAATAAATTTATAAATATGTTTTAATTAACATGTAGGTAACTCGTAACTACATATTATAAGTACCTATATTTTAATTGTAGCTCACATTCGCAGTCATTTAGTTCCTAATTAAGTAGGTCATAAATATTTAACTAACATACCAATTGTACAATCTGAAGAATTAATTATTTTAAAAAAAATATATTCAAAACCAAATTTCAATTAAAGTTGAAAATTGTCAAGCTTACATCTCTAAGTATTAGCAACAAAATGCATTTATCCGTGCTCGCATTTCGAACCTTTCAGCTTAGAACTATAAATTAATATGTAATGCCACTACCTATATATTATATTTATTTATTTATTTATTTATTACTTATAAACGCCTTACGGCTATTAACAATATAGTACATATTATTAATAAATGTGTACAGTAACATATTTACAGATAAATATAAGAGCAACAGTAAATATCTTATAATATCTTAAAAATATAATATTACTTAATAAGCTGTCAATAGCTATCATTAAAATTAATAACGAGAAGAAAGAAACAACAATGACTAAATACAACAAAACAAAAACCTAAATGAGAGAGTCATCAAAGCTTGATTGACTGTTAACATAAGACATATAGCTCTCCTTAGAGGGTCATCTTCTAAATAATTTCTCATAACTGGAGTTACGTAATAAGGGTTTTGTGAACGGGTTAGGTTCCTATTTTGATCAATCACGCTAAAAACTAAACGATTTGAAAATTGTATATCATCCATTTAGGAAAATCCAACGGAAAAGTAGGAAATTTGGATGTCAACAATACTACAGTGTAATGTAATGTAATGAGAATATCGATGGCGTAGCGCACAAGTGTGATAAGTGACATTTTTTTGAAAAATTAGTTAAGTGCATAATCAATTTAATCATACAATTCTGCACATTATGCCCAAACGTTGTAAGTGAATAGTTCATTATTTACTCCGATAGATGTCGTACAGTTCGTTACATTTTTGAATTTGTTATAACATCTCAAACTTAAAAATCGTTCTCCTGAACAATTACGAAAATGTCACTTATCACACTTGTGCGCTACGCCATCGAATTATAATATGTAGGTACTAGGTATGTATTGTATATTAGTATGTGCATAATGGACTCGCGTATCCTAAATTATACAACTGTAACTACACACATAATAGCTGAAAATACCACCAGCATTACCTACCGACCAGTTTTCGTCCGTAAAACTAACAGAGAAAACACAATTTGTACCACTGACTATTAGATTCTGAGCAGAGCGATGAATGTATTGGTTTTAAAATGATGTGTTTTTTAATTTTTTTACTTTTGTGCCTGTGGACACGATTATTTGTCCAAATAATACTTCGATTTTCAACTTCAGAACCTTTAGAATCGTTCGATGGGAAAGTGAATGTAGTTGGTACTTTTCAGAGATTAATCGAAATTCCTAATAATTTTCCAAAGCGCCCGGAACCACAAAATAAAAATTAAGGAAAAACGCGAATTTTTACGCAAAATCAGTTTTTGACAAAATCTTCGAAATATTTTGACTTGTTTTGAGATGTTTACGGATATACATTATTTTTTATTATTTTTTATTTAAGAAATCAAAAACAGAACACATTTTATGCAATACATTTAATTGAACAGGAAATGATTAACCTACCTCCTGTAAGCTTATACAGCTTGTGTTGGTTAGGTTAGGTTAGGTTTTTCAACCATTTTAATTATTTTGCAGTTTTGTGGATTACAAAGTGTATTAATGACACAGTCATGAACTGCAGAAGTGTTAAAGTTTAAATCAGTTTTATTTATTGATAACGGCATAAACACAGTTTCATCACCATTTAAAGATAGATTTTTATCATTTAAACATTTTATAATCAGACTGAACCCTCTGTAGGCTTTCTCATACATCCCGTGTATCAACAAGTGTCATCAGCGTAAAATGCACGTAAGCAGCGAAAAAAAAAACGACGCAAGTAGCGAAACACGCACGCATGTAGCGAAAACCGTACGCAGCAGCAGGCTAGTACGCAAGTAGTGATAAACGGCGCAAGTAGTGAAAAACGCACGCGAGTAGTGAAAAAACGCACGCTAAGCAAAAACCGTAGGTTAGGTTAGGTTAGGTTAGGTTCCCCCCCGACGGCACCCACCTTGACGTGGTGGGTTAGGTTAGGTTAGGTTAGGTTAGGTTAGGTTAGTCTGGCTCCGACCACGAAACCGATCGCACGCACCTCCGTATCGCTCCCGTTGAGTTTTTTGTTTTCGCCGAAAACACCAAACCGATCCGATCGATTCAGGTTAGGTTAGGTTAGGTTAGGTTAGGGTAGTTCAGCGGTGGCTGTCGTAGAGTACGGACGTCTCTCCGCGTCGCTCCCGAGCGAGTTACGTTTTTCTCGCGAAATACCTACCTGTTTTTTACGCAGTGTGTTTTAATCGACGCGTTACGTCGTCCCGCGTCGTCCAATTCAAACCGCGCACAAATCGGACCAGTTTTCGCGGAGAAATCGCGATTTTTCCATCTATCGTGTGTTTTCGGCTACTGTATTACGCAGTCTCAGCCTTTAGGTTAAAAAGTGCGCGTTCGGGCCGGTGTCGATTTCGAGTCGGCCTGATTAAGAACCACCGCACCCTCCCGAAGGGCTCGGTGCATCGTGCGCCCCCCACGGACCGCCAGGGGCCGAGCAATCTAGCAGGCAAGGTTCCCGCGCCGCCCGAGACTTCGCTGCCGAAGCACCAGCGCTACGTCCGCGCGCGGTGGCTCGGCGAACGCGGCTCGAGCGGACCTATCCAGGGACCCCTCGTCCGACAAATTCCGACGCTCAGCGGGTGAGTAACTGCAATTTTACTACTCCCCCTATACAATAACACGGCCGCCCAAAGCCGCCCGAGTGAAAACGGAATTTCCGAGTAACAGCTGTTTTCGCGTCGGGGAGCTTGTAGACACGCGACCCACGTCGGGGAACAACTAACGGCGTGTGACCAAGTGTCGGTGAACATTCGACGGCGTCAACTGACCGCCGGCGGGAATTTTGAATTCGCCCAACAAACAAATACAGAGTGCACCGAGCCCACTCGGGTGTACGTAGTGTTGCAGCGACAAGCGTAACTTATTCTGGAATAATCCAGCGAAAAATCGCCGGAGGGAGCCCGGGTAAACGGCCAAGACTTTTACAGGGGGCACCGCTTATATTCCCCCCATCGGGAACATAAGCCCCCTCCCCCCCCAAAAGGGTTTTTTGCCGATATCTCGGCCGGATTTGGTCGGAGAGCTTCGGGAGAAAAATTTTGCCCTCCCAAAACCCTCTGTCCTACCACGACCGCACCGGATACGATCCCGAAGACCGGGACCCCCTACCCCCACCAGGAGCGGAGTTAGGGGAAAAGATAGGGACAGTGAGGTAGCGATCTGCGTTGAAGTGGTTCAAGAGGTTAGAAGTGGTAGAAGCAAAGGGGGCAAGGGTCGCCGGACCTCCCCCTTGCCATGGAAGACTCATCATCCGGCACTACTACGGACGCAGCCAGGACGACACTAGCCGACAAGCTCATAGCAAGTGGCAGCAACGCCCAGATGGTCCAGACTGAGAAGCTGTCGGTCATGTCGGAAAAACAGCTTCACGATAAGCTAGAGAATATGGAAAAGGTGGAGGGAGAGTCGTTTGACAGAGTTGGTAGGAGACTTAACACCATGCTTGAGGCTATAAGGGTAGCCAAGAGTGTGGCGAAACCAGTCCAAACGGCACTAGCAGAGGCCGTGACTGCTTTTAACCAAGCAACAAACGCCCGCAAGCTACGGCAGAAGGTGGCTGAAAGGCTGAAAGCGGTATCGAAGGACGCACCGACAACCGTGGCAGTAGAGGATACTTTAGATGCGGCTGCGCCGGTCTTAGCTGAGATCAGATCCATTAACTCGAAGTTGAACGATTACGGCGTGAAAATCGAGGCACTTACGGCATCGATAAAAGGAGATGGTAATGAGGCATGGACGGAGGTCGCGAGGAAGAGAAGTGGGCCGAAACAAAAGACCGGGACGTCAGCAGGTGGCACCTTGACTACAGGCGATTCACCAGGAGAATCAACCAAACAAAGAGCGAGAGTACGCCCAGCAGCTATCATGATCGACGTTGACAATCAGGAGGAGTTTCCCGCTTTAGCCCAAAAAATTAAAAGCGGCATTAATGTAGGCGACAACATCACCAGTATGCGTAAGACCAAAAGCGGAGGCCTTCTGCTCGAAGTACGCGGTGATCAGTCTGTAGTAGACACTGTGAGGTCTGAGGTAGCTAGGGTGTCTGGTGACGCCGCCCACGTCAGGCTGCTACTACAAAGATCCCTTGTCGAGATTCGGGACATAGACTCTTGGTCCTGCAAAGAGGACATCTCCGGCACCATCGCTCGTGACGCAGGTATCCCAGAGGTTTCCGTCAATGTCGTTAGTCTCAGGTCTACATATGGTGGCTCGCAAACAGCTCTGGTGCTTTTGCCTATGGGCCCCGCCAACGGCATCATAACCAGGGGGAGGATTAAGATCAGCGTGGTTAGCTGCCGTGTCCGCCTAGCTGAAAGAAGGAGGGCAAGGTGTTTCAACTGTTGCGTATACGATCACGAGGCCAAGGACTGCAAGGGGATAGACCGCAGGAAGTGCTGCAGACGATGTGGCGAAAGTGGCCACTTCGCTAAAGCTTGTGAGGCTGCGCCAACATCTGCAGCTGAGTTCAGGAAAAAACTCGAGAGTGAAGCTCTCGGTTACAAGGAGACACAAACCGTAGTCAAACAAGATGCCTAGATTCATTCAGGCCAACCTCAATAGGGCTAAGGCTGCGCAAGCACTCATCATGCAAACAATATACGAAAAGAAGGCGGATGTTGCCATAATCAGCGAGCCAAATAGGATTCCTGATAACGGTTCCTGGTTTTCCAGTAGCGACATGTCATGCGCTATCTACATTGACCCAGACACACGGGTCATAAACAACGGCCAAGGCCACGGATTTGTGTGGGTCGACATCCCTGACCTCCGGGTATATAGTTGCTACTATTCACCTAATCGAAGACACTCGGCAGAGTCGTACATAATGTATCTGAGCCGCGTCAGTGACAGCGTGCGTCAAGGCCCCAAGGAGGTTATACTTGCTGGTGACTTTAATGCGCATTCCCCCTCCTGGGGTTCCCCAAGCACCTGCGCAAAGGGCGAGGCCCTAACTGACATGGTGAGCTCTCTAGGGTTGTATGTCAGGAACCAGGGTGACGCCCCCACCTTCGAACGGGGTGGCAGTTGCTCTCACATTGATGTGACTTTTGCGTCGCAAGCTGTACTAAGGAACATGCACGTGTGGGAAGTCCTAGATACTGATATCGGTAGCGACCACAACTGTATCTTCTTCACCGTACAAGGCAAAGCCAATCATCAGGCTTCCGCTCTCAGTGGCTGGTCGTGGAGACGGATGGATGCGAGTAAACTGGAAGCTTTTGCCAAAGCTTACCACGTCCCTTCTGAAGGGATTGTGTTCAACGACCAGGGTCTACAAAATTTTCTTCAGCAAGCATGCGACAGCTGCATGCCTAGGAGGAAAAACTGCCAAACCAACCGCAAACCGGTGCATTGGTGGACCTCTGAAATTGCGTCTCTCAGAAAACTGAGCCTGCAAGCAAGGCGTAAGTACCAAAAAATACGCAAGCGCCTCGGTCCTGAGCTGTGTGTCGTGGAACATCGAGCTGCTAGGGAGGCGTCTAAAGCTCTTAGACTAGAGATACGCCGTAGCCAGGAAAAGTGCTGGAGGCTCCTGTGCAAGGAAGTGGACAACGATCCGTGGGGACTCCCGTACAGGATTGTCACAAAAAAACTGATTGGGAGAAGATCCATCCCTGGTTTGACGTTGCCGGGAAGGCTGGACGCAATAGTCAATTGGCTCTTCCCTCGTTGCCCACCACCCCAGTATACCCCAGTTGACAGTCAAGTGACCGTAGCGGACACGTTTGCCGTTGAAGACCTGAAACAGGCGGGTCTCAACCTACCTCGAGGCAAAGCACCGGGTCCTGACGGCGTACCCGACGAGGTCCTGCGGGTGATCGTCAAGGTACGTCCTGAGCTGCTCCTCCCGACGTTTATTGCCTGTCTTAGGACCGGCCAGTTCCTGGAGAGTTGGAAAACAGCCAAACTAGTCTTACTCCGGAAAGGCAACAAGCCTCTGGAAGAGCCTTCTTCGTACAGGCCACTGTGTCTGCTCAATTCCGTGGGCAAGCTGTACGAAAGGCTAATCAAAGTCAAAATCGAATCCCACCTGTATGCTCAACCGGATGGCCTTTCTAGACTGCAATTCGGCTTTGTCAAAAGCCGCTCGACTACCCAGGCGGTTAGTCACGTGATGAAGATTGTAGAAAAGGCGGGGACAGGACAGTTGTACAACAGGAGGCTATGCGCCTTAGCATCCCTAGATGTCGCTAACGCGTTTAATTCCGCCCCTTGGGACCACATAGACGCGGCACTAATAGAGAAGAGGGTTCCGGGCTACCTCATAGCTGGCATCAGATCTTATTTCGATGGCAGATCAGTGCAAACAGACGCTGGAACGCGGGAGGTCACGGCGGGCGTTCCCCAAGGATCCGTCATAGGCCCACTGCTGTGGAACATTTTTTATGACAGCTTGCTAAGGATGGAGTACCCAGAAGGGGTACAAGTTGTATGTTTTGCCGACGATGCAGCGATCGTTGCCACCGGGAAAACAACGTGGATGCTGGAAAGTGCCATGAATAGCGCTCTTGACATGGTGGCAGACTGGATGGATGAACATCAACTGACCATCTCCAGCAGCAAATCGGCGGCGGTGATGCTGACCACCAAAAGAGGCTATGTCAAGCCGGTTTTCAAGTACAAGGGCACCAACATTGAGCTCAAGGATAGTATCCGGTACTTAGGGGTTGAGCTTAGCTGCGTCCTAGGGTTCAGAAAGCACATCGAGGTGACAAGTGACAAAGTCATGAAAACGGCTTCAGCTTTGGCAAGATTAATGCCGAACGTAGGCGGTCCTATGCCTGTCAAAAGGAAATTACTAACATCAGTGGTGCACTCACAGCTTTTATATGCCGCCCCCATATGGCATAGTGCTCTTCTGTATGAGAGGAACAAGAAGACCTTGGCCTCTCCGCAGCGAAAAATGGCCTTGCGGGTTATTAGTGCCTACTGCACTGTTTCAAATGAGGCTGCCATGGTGGTTGCAGGAATAGTCCCCATCCACATTCTGGCATTGGAAAGAGCTTTGATGGAGCGAAGCAAGTCTACTGGTATCCTAAAGGATGTGGCCAGAGCAGACGCAAACGCCCGCTCCATGCTTAAATGGCAGGCAGAGTGGGAGGCTGCTTCAAACGGGCGTTGGACGTTTAGGCTAATACCAAACGTTCAGCAATGGACAGAGCGAAGCTTCGGTCAAGTAAGTTTTCACATGACGCAAGCCTTGACCGGGCATGGCTGCTTCAACGCCTACCTCTGCCGCTTCAAGAAGAGAGATGACTCTGTATGCATGTATTGCCAGCATCCAGTTGACGACGTGGAGCACACAGTCTTCCTGTGCGACAGGTGGTGGCGCCAGAGGAGGGAATTGGAAGTCATGCTGGATGGAATGTTCACCCCGGAGGCCATGACTGCAACTATGCTTAGTTCAAGACGGAGATGGGACGCGGTTTCCAAGTTCATTGAGACGGTGCTAACCACAAAAGAAGCGGACGAAAGAGCCATCCAAGCTGAGGCGTGAATCCACTATTAATTAGTTAAGTTTACATTATTGTAGCTCAACGAGCAAAATTGAGGGGATAGAGCCCCTCATGCATGTCTTTTTTTGTTGTTAAGTGCACCTTTGTAAGAGTTAGTGAGTGGGGGATTTGCCCACCACTGCTTACCCAATGTGTAAATTCCGTGATTTTGTCAATAAACGATGGTCGGTAGGGGCAAGTAGTGTGTCGCGCAAGCAAACAGTTCGCCCCTACTGGTCGGTTCAAACTAAAAAAAAAAAAAAAAAAAAAAAAAAAAAAAAAAAAAAAGGTTAGGTTAGGTTAGGTTAGGTTAGGTTAGGTTAGGGTTAGGTTAGGTTAGGTTAGGTTAGGTTAGGTTAGGTTAGGTTAGGTTAGGTTAGGTTAGTCTGGCTCCGACCACGAAACCGATCGCACGCACCTCCGTACCGCTCCCGACGAGTTTTTTGTTTTCACCGAAAACTTCGAACCGATCCGATCGATTCAGGTACCTATCGATTCGTCTCGACTCCGCCGTCACGCCAAGACATCGCGCGTCGAAATCGGCCCAGCCGCGCCCGAGAAATCGCGAAAACAGTGCGTGAAATTCCGCCGCCCGCCGCCGATAAAAAGTTCGACCAAAAAGTACCTCCGATTCGCCCGTTTCATGGCTCAATCGCTTCAGCTGCCCGCCACTAAGTGAAAAAGCCATCGCGCGCGATCGTAGGTCTTAAACTCAGTGAGATACGGCGACCTAAGTGCACCGCGCTCGGCCGCCCGACCTCACGGCAACACCAGATCCGCTGGTGCTCACCACCCAAACACCGCACGCACCCGTTCGAACCACCAAAAAATCCGCACCGCCCGTGCGCATCTTTTGGTGTACTCAGCGGGCCCGTAGCTGGCCGCCCGGCAAAAGCCGACGCCGCTTTGTGACGCCTCCGCGAAAAATCGCTACCGAATTACGCAGCCGCTCAGAGTTCGCCGAATCCGACGCCCGCGAACCCAATCGCAAAATCCGGATCGCGCGTTAAGTGTACGGTGACAGTCCGGTTACAACGCGAGTGCGAACGTCAGTTTTGCTGCATAAACCAGCCCTCCAGACCAACTATTGCCAAGTACAATATCGGCTGACAAAAGCGACCACCCAGCGACGACCAGACGACCCACGTCTAGGCCCATCAGCTGTTTCGGTCCGCCTTGCTGAGCTCTAACGTACAAGACATCGAGCGGGCCAATCCGTTCAATAGGGCCCAGGTGAGTCAACTATTAATTCACCCCATAAGGTTAACACGGCCGCCCGTACTATCACGCGGCTCCGATCCCCGCGATAACGGATTTTGCCACTGCCATCGGGCCGGTCGCAGATCCGCGACATTCGTTCTAACGTCAACGCGACGCGAACGACTCGGGACGCGAACGTCACTTGGTCACGGAAAAAATCGGAAATTTGAAAACGCCGGTGTGCGAGAACCAGCGCTCGGAGAGCGCTGCGGAAAACAGCCACGTGGCTGGGGCAGCGGCCCCCACCCCCACGCGAAAGTTTTCCCCTCACCCCGTTTTCTTAAAACGCCAATAACTCCGGCCACAAAGGTCCCACGACCTCAGGACTCGGGCACAAGGCCCAGAGGCACCTCTCGGACGAGGTCCCCCCAACGGAAAAAAACCGAAAATCCCCCCCCAAATTTTTTTTTTTTTTTTTTTTTTTTTTTTTTTTTTTTTTTTTTTTTTTTTTTCCCTTGGCCCTCGCGACCCCGTTTTTTCAGGATAGTCAGCCATGCCGTCCTCCGTCCCAGACGACTGGGAAATGGACGCCTTCTCCGACCACGGCCCTCATCACAAGAGGAAGCAAGCCAGCTCCCCGGCTGCAGACTCCCAGGTCCAGAAGACGAAGAAGAAGAAGACGCCCAACACCGCTACTTCGACAACAACCAATACACCGACCACCTCAGACTCCGGCAACGCGCTCATCGCAGCCACCAGAGCCACGGAATATGCCTGTGATCTCGTACAGAGCCTCGCGGACGAGTTCTACTCCGAGGATTACATCGGCCCCTGCCTGTCAAAAGTCACCAAAGCACTCGAGCAAGTTTGCAAAGCTCTGAAACTGCTCGACAAGGATCAACGGCCGCCACCCGGCCAAAAAGATGCCTCCACCGCCACCGATCCCAACATCGACATTCCTGCCGCCAACGCACCGAAGCCCACGACTTCCTCCCAGCCCGCCGGAAAAACCGGCCAATCGGCCAACGCCAACGGTCGTCGAAGGAGGAATAACCAAAAACCCAAGCTGGACGCAAGGACCCCCATGGCCAAACCTCCGGCTCAGAGGAACGAAGTCCCTGAAGTCCCGCCAACCGATCAACCCGAACACTCAGGAAACCGACCGATCGAACATGAAGAAGTCCCCTTCACTCTGGTCCAGAAGGTAACCAAGAAGCCGCCTGCCCCGAGACCGCAGCAAATCAGGAAAATCGTCCAGAGACCAGCCGCTGTGCTCGTCAAGGTCCCCGAAGGCAAGTCCTACGCAGACACCCTGCGCCAAGTCAGGGGCACCGAAATAGACTTCGAAGGACTCGGAACCCACGTGACTTCAATGAGGAGAACGCTCAAAGGCGACCTGCTCGTCGAGCTGACCAAGGGCGCAAAGGCCACTGCTGCCACCTCAGCCATCCGTGACAAGCTCGCCGAAAACATGGCAGGAGCCGTGGTCACCAGGCTCCGGCACACCGCCGAAATCGAAATAACCGACCTCGACGAGGTCACCACCAGAGAAGAGGTCCTCGCCGCGATTCTGAAGAGCGCGCCGGACGGCCAACCCCTCTCTGAAGACGAGGTCAAGATAACCGGCCTGTGGGCCACGCGGGACAGCCGTCAAATGGCCACTGCAACAGTGCCCATCGCCATCGGTCGGAGTCTGACATCCGTCCGCGTCGGCTGGACTCAGTGCCGGGTCCGCCCGCGCAGACCGGAGCCGGCAAAGTGCTACCGCTGCCACGGCTACGGACACGCCACGCGGCAGTGCACCGGCACCGACCTCTCTCACGCCTGCCGAAGATGCGGACAGAACGGACACACCGAGGCCACATGCACCGAGGGTGCGGACCTGTGCGTCGCCTGTGACCGCATCAAGGCCCCACGCGTGCCTCACAAGCCCGGCTCCGGGGCTTGCGCCGCCCGAAGGAAAGCCATCTCAGAGATGAACGCCACTAACCGAACATGATCACGTTTCTACAGATAAATCTCCACCGGAGCGCCACTGCCCAGAGCCTGGCCCAACAGACCTCTGCCTCCATCGGCGCCCAGGTGCTACTCCTATCGGAGCAGAACTGGAGTCCAGCTCGGGATGACCGATGGACAGTCAGCACCGACGGAACCTGCGCAGTCGTCTTAACGCCTACCGCCGAATTCGTTGCAGACACCTCAGGCTCGGGCCGCGGATTTGCCTGGATCCAGACGCGCAACGTCAGAACTTATAGCTGCTATTCCTCCAGAAACGACTCCAGCGAAAATTACACGGCCTTCCTCGGCGACCTCGAGCAGTCAATTCGGTCCGCAGACCCCGACTGCACTCTCGTCATTGGAGGCGACTTTAACGCCTGGTCCCACAGTTGGGGGTCAACACGGAACGACCAGAGAGGCGATCAACTATCAGATCTTGCTGCGAGTCTCGACCTCCTCGTTGGTAACAATGGCCACGTCCCCACGTACGTTAGGTCGAACGCGCAGTCCATCATAGATGTCACTTTTCTCCGCCCTCGATCTTCCCTCTCCCTCGCAGACTGGAGGGTCTTGGACGATGTTGAATCGGCGAGTGACCATAGTTACATAAAATTCCGGTTACAAAGGGCCCAGGAACGGCACGATCCTGCCGAACGACTCAGAGGGTGGTCCTACAGACGCCTGGACACGGTAGCCCTGACCGCTCATCTGGCCGCCTTCCCAACCCCTCACACCGATGCAACTACAACAGCCGACGACGCGGCTGACCAGCTGGTCGCGTATCTCTCTGCAGCCTGCGACTCCTGTATGCCGCCCAGAGCTCCTCCTCCTGCAGGCAGGAAGCAGGTGCACTGGTGGAACGAAACCATTGCAGCGTTACGCGCCGAGCACAGTAGGTCACGCAGATGCTACCACAGGGCAGCCCGAAGACGCGCGCCCACTGAACAGCTGCAACTTCTCCGCGAAGCATACAAAACCAAGAGGAAGGAGCTCCAAACCTCAATCAGAACCGCTCAGGCCAAGAGTTGGTCCGATCTCTGCGCTGCCGTTGATTCTGACCCTTGGGGACTTCCTTATAGAGTCGTTACAAAGCGGATAGGCCGCAATCGACCGGGAACCGAATCGCGAGGTAGAGAATTGACAATAGCCGATCACCTCTTCCCAAATCACCCACTCACCGACTGGCATCACACCCCGCTCCCTCCGGAGGATCCTGAGAATGACGAACAAGTTACTGGGCCTTTCACTATGCCTGAACTGCAACTATCCTGCAAGAGACTTCCTCCCGGTAAGGCAACCGGGCCAGACGGCGTCCCAAACGAAGTCCTCGCCAAAATAGCAGCTCTCAAGCCTCGCGTTCTTCTCGACGCCTTCAACACCTGCCTGGAGAAAACCACCTTTCCTACCAAATGGAAGCAGGCAAGGTTAGTACTCCTGCACAAAGGACCTGGAAAACCAACGACAGAACCAACCAGCTACAGGCCACTCTGCATGTTAGACTCGGCTGGCAAGCTGCTGGAGAGGCTGCTGCTGTCAAGGCTCGACCAGCACCTGGACCGCACGGGCCGCCGATCCCCAAATCAGTACGGCTTTCGGTCCGGCCGGTCAACGGAAGACGCCATAGAGCGGCTACTCGAGACGGCCCACGGTGCAGCCTTGGGAGCCGTCCAACACCGGGATATCTGCGTTGCCGTCTCGCTGGATGTAAGGAACGCCTTTAACTCGGCTCCGTGGCCTATGATTGACGCCGCGCTCCGGGGAAAACTGGTTCCCCCTCGACTAATCTCGATGATCAGATCATACC